TTTTCCAGACTCAATTTTTTTCAGACCTCAGGGTTTTAGACAGCTTAGATAGGTCAGTGAAGTTTTTTGTTTGTATGTGGTTTTAAATCAAGCTCTTGAACCTCATAAAGTTTTGGCCATAATCAACTCCTATTTATAGGTATATATCCTTTCTATAGTACAAACAAGCAAGAATTGCTTTTCTTTTGTCTAAACACTTTTGTTAATGTGTGACAAATGTTAAGTTTAAAAAAATATGTATTTACACCAATTAGAAGGTCAGGTAGCATTACTTGATAAAAATGATCATTTTTAATAAAGTTCTTTTATGGTCAAATAAAAGTTAAAGAAAATTACTTGTATACAGAAGTAAGCACAAATTAAGTAGTGAAGTATGCTAAAAATGCATACTGATCTTTTCCAAAGCAAATGCATTTTAGAAACAAACCCTCATCACAGCAGTAATCATCTTGATTCTTCAGTAAAACACTTAAAAAACATGGTTCATAAAGCTTGGACTGAATTTTTAAAAAGCAATTCAGACATTTTTTGTACATTTGTAGAAGTTTATGTCAGGATTTTCATTATCATACTGCCCTTTAAAACTTGAACTAGTGATCATATGACTAAAAAAAATGGGTCATTCAGGCAGATCTTTTTGAACGTAGAAACGCGATAAAATTCGTATAGGTGCAGTTAGAAAAGCAGTCATTAAAAATCTAACTTAACTTAATTCTCAGTCCAAGTGTCTTCTGGTTGATAATGAGATATAATGGTCTGCAATGCCCTGGATAAACCTTTTCTGGCATGTCTGACTGAGAGCTACTTTCAGTAGGAAAGTGTTTATTGAAATGCTCAGAAGCCCAAACATTAGCAGTTGAATAGGTTAAAATACAAGTTGTTCTTGAAAATTAAAACAAAAAGAGACCTCCTTTTTAGATTCTGTTTCGAAGTCTGGAACTGTTGAGTCAAATGACAATTATGGCTCATCATCTTTTACCCTGGAAAACAAATATGAGCTTACACCATGCGATCAGTTCGGAAGACGAGTGATGTAAGCAAGCTGTTTTGTTTTGTTTTCTTCTGTTTTCTTTTCCTAAATCCTAGATCCATGTATCTTGATACACAAGTTTTATTAATTATAAGTTTTAATAGCTTAAAATTTCATTCCTACTTCTGTTCCTTTTTAAGAGATACTTGGTGATAAACACTTTATCTACAAAATAGCATTGATAATTGGGTGCAGTTAGATTTGGTTGCTTTTTTAATTAAACAAGAAATCCAAGCTAATTAAAGAAACTGACAAAACCTTTGCTTTCCCAAAATAAGTGGCAGGCCTGAAAACCTTCAGAGACAATGACTTTCATACATGAATCTATTCTAAACACCTCCATCTCTTACTCCTCAGGTAAGATCACAGATTTTGAGAACTGCTTTTGTCTAACAATTTTAATTTATGCTTGATTTGAAAATTATGGAAGAACGTTAATTCTTTAAATATTTGCTTCAAGTATTTACATTGGTCTGAATGATTTCTGAATGTGTATGAGACTTCTGTAGTGTGTTTGACAGAAGTTTTGATCATAAGTTTTATATAGCTACTATAAACTTCAGATCAGCCTGTTAAAGAAGTAATCAACCTGTAGGAATAATATATTCCATTATACAGTATGTGTAAATCAAATCATTATTCTGGAGTCTTCTGGAGAAAGAGCACGTTGGCTTAGTAAGGCCAAAAAGCTTACATATTGATTCACATCTCTAACTTTGAATGTGTTACTGAGATGCTTAGGTTGCCCTTGGCTTCTTAAATAGTGAAAGTGGATAGGTACTCTGGAAGATGATAAAGTACAGGTAGAAGCTTAATCTCTTTCTGAATTGAACTTACTCTAGCTTCATTACTAGCTTATGACTGGATACAGCCATACCTGCATGATGCAGGTATTTGTGGGATATTCTTAAACTGAATAACTTTAGGTACCAATACAGAATCAAAAGATATTTATTGGTTAGTAATATAAACAGCAATTCAAATGTTATTGGAATTAACTAAGGAATTCATTAGGCTTCTGGTACGTCTCAGGACAATAGGTAAATTCAGAAAGACAACATTTTTCCAAGGATAATTACAAGAGGCACCGACTATGCAATGACCAAGAAAATGTAACATTATTTTTCATTTTAAAATACTACTATGAATTATCCAAAATGGTGAGATTTTTCTAGATTTACACAAAAGAATATTTCATCTTTACAAAGACTCGTTAAAGCTAAAAATGTACTCTGAAAATGTACTGAAGTATAGCAGCGAGTGTGATTTATCAGACTAATAGTCAGTCTAAACATCTAAGTTCTTATTTATGATCTTTTCCTTACTTTTTTGTCATTCCTTTGTAAGCATGTTAGCTGTCTTCCTGATACGAAACACATGAAACTCACAGCTGCTAGGTAGCTGTACCCAGGTGTCCAGAGACACCACAGAGACACACAGACTCAGCCCTGTGTCCTTTGCACCACATATATAGGCTCAACAACCTATGCCTCTTTCTGTCACACAATTCACCTACTCATTCTAGATAGCTATAATGCACATTTACAGAGTTACAGGTATCATCATCACATAAAGAATGCACTCTGCCAGCTGTACACCCATCTGTATAAGTATTAGAAGGGATATTTTCTGCGATCTTTCTGTCTGGTTGATCAGTGCAGCACATGGCCTTACTATAACTGGAACCAGCCTGTGTCCAAGGTCTTGGGAAAGTTCATGAGTGCAGTGCACCTTTTTAATTTCTTCATCTATCTTCAAGGTAATTTGCAGAAGGCAGTAATGGCAGATATGATGAAGAAATAAGATTGTATAGAAAAACCTGGAACTAGGAGGGCAAGTACAACAAAGCTGGTTTTTGTCTTTCCTAAAAGAACTGTTTCGTTTTCAGTGAAGTATAGACATCTTATCTAATGGCCTAAAATTTGACTAAAAACTATGCTGTGTGCAATGCTTCCTTATGTGTAAATAAATGGAGAAATAAGGAACTCAGCCCAGTGGCCCAGGCAGAGGGTAATAGTGTAACTTGAGATGCACTAGAATGATTCTGCGGTATTTCATCTGATACTGCAGAAAAGCACACATCTCTGTTTATTGTCTGCCATGTCTGCCAGCCTTGTGACATCTTGAACAACTAAAGAGATCTAAAATGGCATGAGATACCTATCTGTGGATGACTGAATCATATTAAAAAAATTCTGCTCTGGGGCAAGAACCTAATGTGGCAGAAACGACCACCTTCTGTGTAGATGGGCAGTGTGCAATGACTTAAGAAATATTCACCAAAAATTTGTGAAAACCTTCATACAAGCCCTTTAACGTATCTAAATTTAAGGTATCAAAGGTATTAAATCTACAGTTATCCAACTGCCATTTGTTCCCCAGTTCAGGCACCTGAGTTGTTCCTACACTTTCACCTGAGTCAGGGTTGACTTTTCATAGAGAACTAATAATTTTAGCTCTTTACTAATCTTGAAAGCATATAAGGAGGCAGAACGTCTTAACACACCTGATTCTTTTCCACAGAAACAGCTGTTCAAAGAACATACAAATATTCCCTTTCTGCAAATGCATTTTGTGAGGATAAATTTACTAATGTATATGAGGTGCTGAGCATCCACAGAGCTAGGAACCATAAATATAACTTCTGGGAGAAACAGTATTTATTTTACTTCTCCTTTTTGACAGTGTATTTGCAAAGATTATTGCTCCGATTCTGAGCTCACTTACATAGCTGTAAATCAGGCTTATCTTCACTAGTGTAAATGAAGATCAGAATTAGGTGTTATCAGATGAATATTCAGGTACTATAAGCTGTTGTGGATCAATTCCACACTTCAGACATAAATGAAATACAACAGTGTGTAGCAAATGAAAAAGTGTTTATTTTAATTTTTTCTTCTTAAAATCAGTCAGTAAAACCTCCTGTTGATACCTTCTCCTTTCTTATTCTTAACCTCAGTTTTACTGTATGGTGCACAGCCTCTGTCATGTGGTTAGTAGAAGCTGTGCCAACACATATTTTTCCTTTCCATATTAACACCATGATTACTTTCACAGGTAACAGAATTCTTTTTTCATTATAAAAAAGAAGACAACCTGAGACGCATCACTAAGGTGACAAGTCTATAAGGTGACTATAAGGTGACAAGGACATATAAGGATGATGGGGAGGGACTCTTGATTAGGAACTGTAGTGATAGGACAAGGGGTAACTGATTAAAACTTAAACAGGGGGAGTTTAGACTGGATATGAGGAGGAAGTTCTTTGCTGTAAGGGTGGTGAGGCACTGGAATGGGTTGCCCAGAGAAGCTGTGAATGCTTCACCCCTGGTGGTGTTCAAGGCCAGGTTGGATGAAGCCTTGGGTGATATGGTTTAGTGTGAGGTGTCCCTGACCATGGCAGGGGGGTTGGAACTAGATGATCTTAAGCTCCTTTCCAACCCTAACTATTCTATGATTCTATGATTCTAAGTCATAATTCAAAGTTATTTTAAATCAGTGGGAGTATTGCAATAATTTTGGATGAATTTTGTATCATACCATAACATAACAATAGCTCATTAGAATAACTGATAAAATGGAGAACAAAATTTATCCCAAGAGAAATAATTTACTATGCATGTGGTGACAGCAAGAACTGACAGTAGCTTAGGTTGAATCTTGAATTGGCATAATCTTAATATGAAACAAAAATTACGATTTTCAGTAATCTCCCATTAAAATAGCACCTCTGTATTGATTACTTTCTTGTTGCTTAATAAGCAACTCAGCGTTTAGACATGAAAAGTATACAAATTGATTTTAGATTATAAGCATCTTATAATTTTATCTCGAATTATCTTATACTGCAACAACATGGTCAGTCACTTGTAAAAATTGCAGTATCCATTGACTGTGTGTCGTGGTTTAAACCCAGACGGCAGCCCAGGACCATTCAGCCACTCGCTCACACTCCCTTCCTCCTCCCCATGCTCCCGGAGGGATGAGGAGAAGAATCAAAAGAACGCAACTCCCACGGGTTGAGATAAGAACAGTCCAGTAACTAAGGTATAACACAAACCACTACTGCTACCACCAATAATAATAATGATAAGGGAAACAACAAGGGGAGAGAATACAACTGCTCACCACCCACCGACCAGTACCCAGCCTGACCAAGCAGTGTTTTAGCGCTTCTGGGTAACTGCCCCAAGTTTATATAGTGGGCATGACGTGCTGTGGTTTGGAATAGCTCTTTGGCTACTTTGAGTCAGGTGTCCTGTCTCTGCTTCCTCCCAGCTTCCCCTCCTCCCTGGCAGAGTATGAGACTGAGAAAGTCCTTGGTCAGAGTAAGCATTACTGAGCAACAACTAAAACCATCGGTGTTATCAGCATTTTTGCCAGGCTGAAAGTGGAAAACACAGCACTGCACCAGCTACTAAGACTGAGAAAAATGACTGCTACTGCTGAACCCAGGACACTGTGGTCTTCATAGATACTACATTCCCTGGCTTTTTTTTTTTTTGCTTAGACATTGTCTATAAGGAGTACCTGGGTGGTACTTTAGAAAACAGAAATATTAAATAAATCAGTGAACAAACAACAACCTGTCAATGGGAAATCCTGATAATAGAATGGCAGCAATATTGTTGCCCAATTGAAATAGGTGGTTCATGCTCCAGTCTCTATCTGTGGTAAATATATCTATATTTTTGGTTTATGTTTTGTTGATTTACTTCCTTGACAGTATACCATGCAGAATATATTTCAATATATTATGCAGCGCAAACAATAATAATGTTAAATTTATTAAGATGGGATGCCTTAAAAATGAGAAACTTTGAGTGTTCAGAATTATAAGCAAGCTAAAATCCATTATATCCGCAATATTTTTTAAACTGTTCTTTAAATTTAAATGGCTGTCTGATCAAAGTGAAATGCCTAGGTAATGAGCTTCAAGATTGTGCTTCCCGTAAAATTATTCTTGACACTTCTTTTTGTCCAATGCATGAAAAAAAGACTCTACCTCCTTTTCTTCTCTCCCATTCTTTCTCTGCTTTCTCCACAACTTGCAACTAGAAGTTGGAGTAATAAGTTTGAGTTCTTTCAACTCAAGAATGAAGAAATTTAATCCACACCTTTGTGCAAAGAAGAAAGGAATAGAGCATGCTGTAATTACTAGACAACTTTACAAAAACTGAGTTCATCATTCATCTGTATTTTGAAAAAGTGAGAATTTTTCAGATCTCAGAAAGAAAGGATGAAAATTCGAATGGTTCAGGTTTGTGCACATTTAGGCATAAATGTTTCTCTAAATCTGGATATATGTCCAGGATGAGATTTTTGACCTCCATCTGTATCCAATCTTTCTGTATTGGCCAGCATCTTATGACTTCCTTCATTTTGCTATTTTAACATGAGGATTCATTTGTATTTTGCTGTATTATTTGATTCCTTCTGTTTCTATGGAGCTTAAATACCCAAGGTATGGTTCTGGATTTCATATTGAATGGCAAATAAAATATAACATCAATTTTTTTTTTTCCCCAAAACAGTTATGTGATGTGATTTTCTTCCTTTACCTGAATACTCAACCTTCACAATAATTCCAAGAACATCAATACAAAATTTCCAATGTTAATAAATTATTTTATTAATTTGACATTGCCTGTTCTACACCATCTGAATTTCTGTGCATCAATATATTGAGTGACAGTATTAAAACAAGCCAGCAAACAAAAAAACTCTATCATCTATATATGAAATTTGTTGAGTATTGCCAATTTAGACATTTTGTAACTCCTTTACTGGAAATGCATGTGTCTCTTTTAAGTCTCATATCATATCTGCCAGACTCATGCAGATATATCAGATGTCCTACAGAATCTTGCAATGGTATCAAATGCACATATTCATGTAATTGAACCAAGGTACTATTGGCTTGTCAACTGACTCACTTTTTAGGCTTCACTTAATGCAATGTACTCAGGTGTTTTTCATCTGGATGATTACAGTGACGTTTGAGGCACCCCTGAGAATGAGATACATCAACATAGACCTACTTAATGGGTAGACTGCTGTAGAAGTGGTAAGAAGCGAAGTGAACTATATCAGGGCACCTAAAATGAACTGGATGCATATATCAAGCAAATTAATTGAACTCCACAACTGGGAGCATAGCATACACGTTATATATACACACTTGTATATATAGGTATCTAAACTTCGACCTGAATCCCACACCAATCACAAAACATAAATTATTAACTCATGCAGCTGTGTTTCTCAAAGTCTGATTTTTCTTTTTTTTTTTTTTTTTGATTTGGGGGGGGTGATGAGAATTATTCTTAATAAAAAAAGGAAATCAAAGCAAGATAACTGCAAAAAATGAAACTACAGTAACGCTGAAATTGGTACCTGCCCAGGATAAATTATGTATGCTAACAGGTAATTCACAGGAGAATAGACTATTTTTGTAGGAATAATCCATCACTCTCACGAGTAGTTATGTCCAAGGCAACACCTGTTCCCACCAGTTAACACAGACAACAGGCAGGTAAGAATAAAATTGCTGGTTTGTGGTCCCTGTTGAAAGAGTCACCTTTCTAAGGGTGATTTTTCAATAAATACCAAGCCAGAAACAGGTAAAAAAATGATGAAGAAGGAGGTTAAACGTATGACAGCATCATTAGAGGGAATACCTGATGATATGAACAGGTGTCCCTCTGTAATAGGTTTGAGGCTCTGGATCTTGAAGGAGAGGTAGGTGAGGATGTGGTGCAAGGCCCGCCTACAAGGCCACATAGGAAAAAGCAGTCGACTTCGCACTTCAAGACTGCCTCTGGTAAGAAAGAAAGAAGGGTCATTGTAGTAGGTGATTCCATTCTGAAAGGAACAGAGGGCCCGATATGCAGAGTTGACCCTCATCATAGGGAAGTGTGTAGTCTGCCTGGAGCCCGGATCAGGGATATCACCGGGGCGCTCCCCAACCTGGTGCGCCCGACAGACTACTACCCGCTGCTGGTCTTCCAGACGGGTGAGGGGGAAGTTGCTTCCCGCAGTCTGAGGGAGATAAAGAAAGACTACAGGGCCTTGGGGCGGATGATGAAAGACTCTGGGGCTCAAGTGATCTTCTCTTCGCTCCTTCCATCTTCTGTTGATGATGTGGGACTGAATGGGAAAATTCAGTCCATAAACGATTGACTTCGAGGCTGGTGCTGCAGGCAGGGCTTTGGATTCTTTGATAACGGCTGGTTTTATAGGGCACCAGTCTGGACATTGGCATGTGGGAAAGGTTTATCGCACAGAGGAAAAAGGATGCTGGGGCACGAATTAGCAGGGCTCATTTGGAGAGCTTTAAACTAGATTCGAAGGGGGATGGGGTTGTAGCTGGGCTTGCCTCAGTGGGACAGCGCTCCGGAATTGATGAAGACTGGGAGGCCTCCTGTAATCCTAGGGTGAAATCAGTGTGCTCGGCTCACTCCCTGAAATGTCTGTACGCCAATGCGCGCAGCATGGGAAATAAGCAGGAGGAGCAGGAAACCTGTGTTAAGTCGGGAGATTATGACCTGGTGGCAATTACAGAGACGTGGTGGGACAGCTCACATGACTGGAATATAGTCATGGAGGGCTATGTCCTTTTCAGGAAAGACAGGCCAGCCAGGCGGGGTGGTGGGGTTGCTCTTTATGTGCGAGAGCAGCTACAATGCGTTGAGTTCTGTCCGGGGACAGATGATGAGCGAGTTGAGAGTCTGTGGGTGAGAATTAAGGGGCAGGCTGGCAGGGGCGATACTGTTGTGGGGGTCTGTTACAGGCCACCGGATCAGGGTGAGGAAGTTGACGAGGCCTTCTACAGGCAGCTGAGAGCGGCCTCACAGTCACAGGCCGTGGTCGTCGTGGGGGATTTTAACTTCCCTGATGTTTGCTGGAAGGACTACTCGGCAACCCAGCCGCAGTCCAGGAGGTTCCTCCAGTGTATAGACGATAACTTCCTCATGCAAATGGTGGATGAGCCAACCAGGAGAGGTGCGCTGCTGGATCTCATCCTCACTAACAAGGAGGGTCTGGTTGAAGGAGTGAAGGTTGAGGGCTGCCTTGGTTGCAGCGACCACGAGATGGTAGAATTCAGGATCTTGTGTGGTAGGGTCAGTAGAATAGCAAGTAGAATCACAACCCTGGACTTTAGCAGGGCAAACTTTGGCCTCTTCAAGCGATTGCTAGGGGAAATCCCATGGGCTAGGCTGCTTGAAGGTAAAGGGGCCCAAGATAGTTGGTTGACGTTCAAGGACTGCTTTTTCCGAGCTCAAGATCGGAGCATCCCGACACGTAGGAAGTCAAGGAAGAGGGTCAGGAGACCTGTGTGGCTAAATAGGGAATTGCTCGGTATGCTCAAGTGGAAGAGGAGAGTTTACAGGTCATGGAAGGAAGGGCTGGCCACTTGGGAAGAATATAAGGCTGCTGCTAGAGGATGTAGGAAAGCTGCTAGGATGACTAAGGCCTCCTTGGAATTAAAGCTGGCAAGAGGGGTCAAGGACAGCAGAAAGAGCTTTTTCAAATACATGGCAGGTAAAACTAACACCAGAGGCAATGTAGGCCCGCTGATGAACGGGACGGGTGCCCTGGTGACAGAAGATACAGAGATGGCAGAGTTACTGAATGCCTTCTTTGTCTCTGTCTACTCTGCCGGAGGCAGTCCTGAAGAGCCCTGTACTGCTGAGACCTCAGGTGAAGTCAGGTCAACGGAGCGGTCTGCCTTAGTCGATGAGGAGTGGGTTAAAGACCAGTTGAGCAATCTGGACATCCATAAATCCATGGGTCCAGATGGGATGCACCTGTGGGTGCTGAGGGAACTGGCGGAGGTCATTGCTAGACCGCTCTCCATCATCTTTACCAAGTCTTGGGAAACGGGAGAGGTGCCTGAGGACTGGAGGAAAGCAAATGTCACTCCTGTCTTCAAAAAGGGCAAGAAGGAGGACCCGGGTAACTATAGACCGGTTAGCCTCACCTCCATTCCTGGGAAAGTGATGAAACACCTTATCCTTGGTGCCATCTTAAGGCATATCAAGGATAAGAGGGTTATGAGGGGCAGTCAACATGGCTTCACCAAGGGGAAGTCATGCTTGACCAATCTCGTAGCCTTTT